TTTTTGCCCAGGCTAGAGTGCAGTGGCACAATCTTGGCTCACTGCAACCTCCACTTCTGGGGTTCAAGCGATTCTCATGCTTCAGCCTCCCTAGTAGCTGGGATTACAGGTGTCTGCCCCCATGCCCACCTAATTTTTGTAGTTTTAGTAGAGATGGGATTTCACTATGTTGGCCAGGCTGGTCTCAAACTCCCGACCTCAGGTGATCCAACCCCCTCCTTGGCCTCCCAAAGTGCTGGAATTAAAGGCATGAGCCACTGAGCCCTGCCTTTTCTTTTTTTGACATGAGGTTTTACCATGTTCCCCATACTGGTCTTGAACTTTTAGGCTCAAGCAACCCACCCACCTCAGCCTCCCAAAGTGCTAGGATTAGAGGTGTGAGCCATTGCATCCGGCCGTTTTTTCTTTAACATGTGTCTCATCCTGTCATAGAGGCTGGAGTGCAGTGGCGCAATCATGGCTTACTACCCCCTCAACCTCCCAGGCTCAAGTAGTTTTCCCCACTTCATCCTCCTGAGTAGTTGGGACCACAGATGCACATCACCACCCCTGGCTCGTTTTGTTTTGTTTTTTGTTTTGTTTGAATCTTCCTCTGTCACCCAGGCTGGAGTGCAGTGACACAATCTCAGCTCACTGCAGCCTCCACCTCCTGGGTTCAAGCAGTTCTCACACCTCAGCCACCCAAATAGCTGGGATTACAGGCATGTGCTACCACACCCAACTGTTTTTTTTCTTTTAGTAGAGATGGGGCTTCGCTATTTTGGCCAGTCTGGTCTTAATCTAGCCTCAAATGATCTGCCTGCCTCAGCTTCCCAAAGTGCTGGTATTACAGGTGTGAGCCGCTGTGCCCAGCTACCACACCTGGCCATTTTTATTTTTAAAAAGCTTTTTTTCACTGATAGCACTTGTTTTAAAAAATCTTTTTTTTTTTTTTGAGACAGGATTTCACCGTCACCCAGGCTGGAGTGCGGTGGTATGATCACAGCTTACACAGCTGGAGTGCAGTGGCATGATTGCAGCCTTGACCTCCTGGGCTCAAGAGGCCTTCCTACCTCAGACTTCTCTGTAGCTGAGACTACAGGCACACACCACCATGTCCTGATGATTTTTATACTTTTTTTTTTGTGTAGAGACACGTTCTTGCTGTGTTGCCCAGGCTTGTGTTGAACTCCTGGACCCAAGTTATCTACCTCTGCCTCCCAAAGTGCTGGGATTACAGGCATGAGCTACCTCACACAGCCCCCAAATACTTTTCTTTTGGAGACAGAGTCTCACTTTGTCACCCAGGCTGGAGTGCAGTGGCACCATCTTTGTCCATTGCAACTTCCGCCTCCTGGATTCAAGCAATTCTCCTGTCTCAGCCTCCCAAGTAGCTGGGATTACAGGCATACTATGCCTGACTAATTTTTATATTTTCAGTAGAGACAGTGTTTCACCATGTTGGACAGGCTGGTCTCGAACTCTTGACCTTGTGATCTGCCCACCTCGGCCTCCCAACGTGCTGGGATTACAGGTGTGAGCGACTGTGCCTGGCCCCAAAATACTGTTCTTATTGGAAAACTAAACGCCTAATTATAGGACATAGCTTTGTTTCTTAAGTTTTGTTAGTCTAGAATTGACTTTTTTGGAACCCTGACTTAAGATTCCATAGATGTAGTCTTATATAAAAACCAATTAGGGCAGGCACAGTGGCTCACACCTGTAATCCCAGCACTTTGGGAGGCCGAGACGGGCGGACCATGAGGTCAAGAGATTCAGACTATCCTGGCTAACATGGTGAAGCCCTGTCTCTACTAAAAATACAAAAATTAGCTGGGTGTGGTGGTGCGCACCTATAGTCTGAGCTACTCTGGAGGCTGAGGCAAAAGAATCACTTGAACCCGGAGGTGGGGATTTCAGTGAGCCTAGATCATGCCGCTGCACTCCAGCCTGACGACACAGCAAGACTCTGTCTCAAACAACAACAACAACAACAACAAAACAGAAAAATAGTAACCCAGTTAAGGAAAATCTTAATTAATTTGCTATCTTACAACCTACTTTTATGGGTTGTTTTTTTTTTTTTTTTTTTTTGGTGTGTGTGGAATAAAGCAACACAATGCTTTTGTGGTTTTAATAACAAAACCAAGTTTATGATGGGCCTGGGTAACATATGACAAAAAAATTTTAAAATTAGCCAACGGGCGTAGTGATTCACACCTGTAATCCCAGCACTTTGAGAGGTCGAGGTGGGCGGATTGCTAGAGCCCAGGAGTTCAAGACTAGCCTGGGCAACATCATAAAACCCCACATCTACAAAAATACAAAAATTAGCCAGGTGTGGTGGTACACACCTCTAGACCCAGTTACTCAGGAAGCTGAGGTGGGAGGATAATTTAAGCTCAGACATCCAAGACCAGTCTGGGCAACACAGTGAGACTCCTTTCTCCAAAGAAAAACAAAAACCTTAGCCAGGTGTGGTGATGTGCCCCTGTAATCCCAGCAACTCAGGAGGCTGAGATGGGAAGATGGCTTGAACTCAGGAGACAGATAGGCTGCAGTGAGCCATGCATTGCATTCCAATGTGGGTGACAGAGCAAAATGCCATCTGAAAAACCCAAAATAAAAATAAATTTCTAGGCCTGGCACAGTGGCTCATGCCTGTAATCCTAGCACTTTGGGAGGCAAAGGTGGGTGGATCACCTGAGGTCCGGAGTTCAAGACCAGCCTGGCCAACATGGTGAAAGCCTGTCTTAAAGAAAAACAAAACAAAACAAAACAAAAATATATATATATATATTCTATTTGTTGTTGGATTTAATAAGGCAAACAAAAATCCTAATAATTTCTAGCATAATTTACCACACCATTCTGTTTTGATGTCTTTGAAACTTTATCTGGGAAAGAAGAATGGCATCTTACGTTTTTGTTTCATAATGTATGCTCTTAGATGGCAGTTAAACAGGGAAACCAGCTGCAGATGCAAGTCCACGAAGGGTACCATGTCATTGATGAAGCCCCAACCCCAGTTGTAGGAGCAAAACGACTAGCTTCCAGGACAGGGAAGAAGCCACTTGCACATTACTCTTCACTGGTGAGAGTCTTGGGATCGGACATGAAGACCCCAGAGGAGCCTGCAGTGCAGGTATGAAGGTTATGGCCCAGTCTATTCAATTTTTTTTTTTAAATAAAGCTAAACAAGTTTTTGTTATTATTATCATTGTACTTTAAATTCTGGGATACATGTGTAGAATGTGCAGATTTGTTACTTACACGTGCCATGATGGTTTGCTCCACCTATCAACCCGTCATCTACATTAAATATTTCTCCTAATGCTATCCCTCCCCTAAATCCCCACCCCCTGACAGGCCTCAGTGTGTGATGTTCCTCTCCCTGTGTCCATATGTTCTCATTGTTCAACTCCCACTTATGAGTGACAACATGCGGTATTTGATTTCCTGTGTTAGTTTGCTGAGAATGATGGTTTCCAGCGTCATTCATGTCCCTGCAAAGGATGTGAAGTCTTTTTTTTTTTGAGACAGAGTTTCGCTCTTGTTACCCAGGCTGGAGTGCAATGGCGCGATCTCGGCTCGCCACAACCTCCGCCTCCTGGGTTCAGGCAATTTCCTGCCTCAGCCTCCTGAGTAGTTGGGATTACAGGCACGCACCACCATGCCCAGCTAATTTTTGGTATTTTTAGTAGAGACAGGGTTTCACATGTTGACCAGGATGGTCTTGATCTCTTGACCTTGTGATCCACCCGCCTTAGCCTCCCAAAGTGCTGGGATTACAGGTGTGAGCCACTGCACCTGGTGTGAAGTCTTTTTTTATGGCTGCATAGTATTCCATGGTGTATATATGCCACATTTTCTTTATCTAGTCTATCATTGATGGGCATTTGGATTGGTTCCAAGCCTTTGCTATTGTGAATAGTGCTGCAATAAATATATGTGTGCATGTGTCTTCATACTAGAATGATTTATAATCCTTTGAGTATAAACCCAGTAATGGCATTGCTGGCTCATATGGTATTTCTGGTTCTAGATCCTTGAGGAAGTACTTTTTTTTTTTTTTTTTTTTTTNTTTTTGAGGCGAAGTTTTGCTCTTCTTGTTGCTTAGGCTGGAGTACAATGGCCAATGGCGTAACCTCCATTCACTGCAACTTCCGCCTCCTGGGTTCAAGCAGTTCTCCTGCCTCAGACTCCTGAGTAGCTGGGATTACAGGCATGTGCCACCATGCCTGGATAATTTTTATATTTTTAGTAGAGATGAGTTTCTCCATGTTTGCCAGGCTGATCTCGAACTACCAACCTCAAGTGATCCTCCTGCCTCGGCCTCCCAAAGTTCTGGGATTACAGGCGTGAGCCACCATGCCTGGCCTGTTTCCTGACTTTTTAATGATCACCATTCTAACTGGGGCGAGATGGTATCTCACTGTGGTTTTGATTTGCATTTCTCTAATGACCAGTGATGATGAGCTTTTTTTCATAGGTTTTTTTGGCCGCATAAATATCTTCTTTTGAAAAGTGTTCATATCTTCGCCCACTGTTTGATGGGGTTGTTTTTTTCTTGTAAATTTAAGTTCCTTGTAGATTCTAGATATTAGCCCTTTGTCAGATAGATTGCAAAAGTTTTCTCCCATTGTGTAGGTTGCCTGTTCACTCTGATGATAGTTTCTTTTGGTGTACAGAAGCTCTTTAATTAGATCCTATTTGTCAATTTTGGCTTTTGTTGCCATTGTTTTTGGTGTTTTAGTCATGAAGTCTTTGCCAGATGCCTATGTCCTGAATGGCATTGCTTAGGTTTTCTTCTAGGGTTTTTATGATTTTAGGTCTTAAGTTTAAGTCTTTAATCCATCTTGAGTTAATTGTTGTATAAGGTGTGAGGAAGGGGTCGTGTCACTTTTCTGCATATGGTTAGCCAGTTTTCCCAACACCATTTGTTAAATAGGGAATCCTTTCCCCATTGCTTGCTTCAGTCTATCCAGTTTCTAAATTTATTTCTCATCGTCTTTGTTGTGAGATTTGCATGTTTATGAGAGATGGGAATTATTGTGATCCTCTCTGTCTCCTACTTTTAAAACTGGTAACAGTAGTTTACTTCTGGAGAAGGGGGAGCAGGGGGAGCTAGAGACTGTGTTTTCCTTTAGTACACCTTCATACTGTGACTTTTTTTTTTAAACTATATGTTTGGATGATTTCACAAAAGAAACCTCAAAATAATATACTCCAGGTAAAGTATTTTAAGGACAGGTATGGTGGCTCATGCTTGTAATCCTAGCACCTTGGCAGGCTAAGGTGGGTGGATCACAAGGTCAAGAGATCGAGACCATCCTGGCCAACATGGTGAAACCCCGTCTTTACTAAATATACAAAAATTAGCTGGGTGTGGTGGCATGCACCTGTAGTACCAGCTACTTGGGAGGCTGAGGCAGGAGAATCGGTTGAACATGAGAGGCGGAAGTTGCAGTGAGCCGAGATCGCACCATTGCACTCCAGCCTGGTGACAGAATGAGACTGTCTCAAAAAAAAGTATTTTAAATAGAAAAAGTAACCTCCAACATTCAGCTTGTGTTTCCTCCCAGTTGTTTCCACCTGCTTCATGTGACACAGACCAGCCTCAAGACAAGCCCCCAGACTGGTTCACGAGCTACCTGGAGACAGTGAGTGTTCCCTCTGGCTTGGGTTTTAACTGCAGTGTTGGGACAGGTGGAATGTGGAAGAAATAGAAAACCAAACCCAAATGGCTGCTGTGCAGCCTCTGGTACAGGTGAAGAGTGGTAGCTTATAATTTCCAAACCTACAGCAGTTCCAGTCAAGAAAGCTGTAACCTTTGCAGTGAAGTGTCAGAAAAAGAGGGAGTCTAATTCTAAGCATGTAAGGGAGAGGGACAAATTTCTGCTTGAGAAGAACTTAGAAATTTACTTATCAAAAGGATTTTTGATATTTTCTTTGAACCAGTTTAGCTATGGAAGGAATAGACCTTTTGCTATGTTTCATGTCTATTCAGTAGCAGTTGTTTATTGTGTTTTTGTATTACACCAGAGACAGGTTTCAGATCTATTGATACCTTCACACTTTTTTTCAGTATTGGAACTGAGTTTTTTCCCCACCTTCTGCTTCATATTCTAGTTCAGAGAACAAGTGGTTAAAGAAACGGTTGAGAAGCTTGAACAGAAATTACATGAGAAGCTTGTCCTCCAGAACCCATCCTTGGGTTCTTGTCCTTCAGAAGTCTCAATTCCTACTTCAGAGGAAACATTGTTTTTACCAGAAAACCAGTTCAGCTGGCATATTGCTTGCAACAACTGCCAAAGAAGGATTGTTGGCGTCCGCTACCAGTGTAGGTAAGCAGTTGCTTGGGAGTAGCTAGCTAGTGATAGACCTAAGAGCATTTACCTTCCTGGCTTTCTGATTAGGTTAAGGGATATTGGTTGTACCCTGTTTCTGAGCATTAGATGTCATAGCTGTGAGTTGGAAGCACAAGCTTATCTTCACCCACATGCTTTGTGGGTTGTAACCATTCAGATTGTTGAATTCAGATGTGCATTTGGATTAGCAAAGCCAGGCAAAATTCTGTTCCCCTGAACAGACACAATTAGATCACTAAGGGTAGTTGCTCGGTTGTTCCAAATGCCTTTTTTGTTTGCTTTTATTTGTTTGGTGACAGGGTCTCACTCAGTCACCCAAGGCTGCAGTGCAGGGTGCAATCACAGTTCACTGCAGCCTCACCCTCCCAGGCTCGGACAGTCCTCCCACTTCAGCCTCCCAAGTAGCTGGGACCACAGGCATAGGGTACCATGCCTGCCTAATATTTTTTTTAATTATTTTTTTAGAGATGGGGTCTCCCTATGTTGCCCAGGCTGGTCTCAAACTCCTGGACTCAAGTGATCCTCCTCTCCAGAGCCTCCCAAAGTGCCGGGATTACAGGCATGAGCCACTGTGCCTCACCCCATATACTTTCATATCTTACCTTCCTCCCTTAGGTTTTCATTTAAAATGGGTATGAGTTAAGTGTTGTTATCCTAATTTTATTAATGAAGAAAATTGAGGCATGGCATAGTTAAATGACGTGTTCAGGTAACCAGCTAGTTGGCACTGGAGCAAATGTAGAAGTCTGGTCTTATACCTCCCTATCCCGGGTACTTCCTGTTATGCCACTGTGTACTGTGCCATTCCTTCCCCACAGCTTATGCCCGTCCTACAATATCTGTGAAGATTGTGAAGCAGGGCCATATGGCCATGACACTAACCACGTCCTGCTGAAGTTACGGAAACCTGTTGTGAGTTCCTCTGAACCATTCTCTCACTCAAAGTACTCTACTCCTCGTCTTCCTGCTGCTCTGGAACAAGTCAGGTAAAACCCTATACATGGAGATGCTTATTCTCTGATTAACTTCTTGGTTCTGGTGACAAGGTGTGAATCACAAAACTACAGATAATCTCCTTAGTTCCACTCATTTTCAGTTGATGTGCAGAAATGAAGACAGTTATCCAAAGTTAATGAAATAGAAATAAGAACTATAAAAAGAAATTAAGAAACTGAAGTAGGTTGGGCACAATGGCCCATAACTGTTATCTCAGCAACTTGAGGGGCTAAGGTGGGAGATTGCCTGAAGCCAAATATTTGAGACCAGCCTAGGCAATATAGCAAGATCCCACCTCTAAAAAAAATTTTTTTAATTAGACAGGCATGGTGGTGCATACCTATAGTTTCAGCTACTTGGGAGGCTGAGGTGAGCAGATCACTTGAGCCTAGGAATATGAGGTGGAAGGGGAGCCATAATTATACCACTTCATATCAGCCTGCATGACTGAGTGAGACCCTGACTCTAAAACAATAAAAGAAACTAAAAGCTGACACTGGTGGAGATTGCAATTGGCTCCACATAGCTTCAGAATTTATTTGTGCCTTTCTTTTAAGACTTGCTTTTATTATCTCACAGGCTCCAGAAACAGGTTGATAAGAACTTTCTTAAAGCAGAAAAGCAAAGGTTGCGAGCTGAGAAGAAACAACGTAAAGCAGAGGTCAAAGAACTTAAAAAGCAGCTTAAGCTCCATAGGAAAATTCACCTATGGAATTCAATCCATGGACTCCAGAGCCCCAAGTCTCCTTTAGGCCGACCTGAAAGCTTGCTCCAGCCTAATACCCTGATGTAAGCCCAGGGCTGGGGTGGGAGCCAAAACTTTAGGCCCAGCTCTCTGAAACTGGAACTTCAGCCAACTTCTGTCTTATTCACTGGCAGCCCCGTAACACTTAAATCCTTAAAACTTCCCATTATCTGTCTTAGTATTATTAAAGGGTGGTTTGGTAGTTATTTTTGACACTTGTTTTGTTTCCTTCAGAAAGATAGAAACCACTAAAGTTCAGAATGGTGGAGTCCCTCTCTTCATTGGAGGCAATCTGGAATTGAAGCAAAAGGAACAAGTGTTTTAAAAGCCTGACTCTCGCTGGGCATTGTGGCTCACGCCTGTAATCCCATTGCTTTGGGAGGTCGAGATGGGTGGATCATGAGGTCAGGTGTTCAAGACCAGCCTGGCCAAGATGCTGAAACCCCATCTCTACTAAAAATACAAAAATTAGCCAGGCTTGGTGCCTCCCACCTGTAATCTCAGCTACTCGGGCATCTCTTGAACCTGGGGAATCTCTTGAACACGGGTAATAGGGGTCGCAGTGAGCTGAGATCACACCACTGCACTCTAGCCTGGGCGACAGGGCAAGACTCCGGCTCAAAAAAAAAAAAAAAAAAAAAAGCCTTACTCTCTAGGTGTTGTATTTATAGGCCCTTTTAATTATACTTGCCATGACTTTTTAAGCTCAGGAGTCGGACCTATCCTCTGTTTTGTTTTATTATTTTAAATTTGTCAGAAAATTTATTGTTTCTAATACATGATCCTATACTAATATTAGTATTATTTTTAGGGCAAATGGGTTAGTACATTTTCAAGAGTCATAGACTCTCAAGCCAATGTGGGATATTCAGAAGCCTTCACACCCAGTGGCAAGTGATTAAGCATCTGAATTTCTATTCAGGCTCCCTTTGCAGCCCTGTACCCCAGTTATGCCAACGCTCAGTGCAGCATTTGTAGATGAGAATTTGCCTGATGGGACTCACCTTCAGCCAGGAACCAAGTTTATCAAACACTGGAGGATGAAAAATACAGGAAATGTAAAGTGGAGTGCAGACACAAAGGTAATTTTTCCCACAAAATGTGAAGATGAACTGATTTGAAGTGGCAGAGTGCTCAGCTGACAAGCTTGCTTTCTCTTATTACTGTTCTTTGTAGCTCAAGTTCATGTGGGGAAACCTGACTTTGGCTTCCACAGAAAAGAAGGATGTTTTGGTTCCCTGCCTCAAGGCTGGCCATGTGGGAGTTGTATCTGTGGAGTTCATTGCCCCAGCCTTGGAGGGAACGTATACTTCCCATTGGCGTCTTTCTCACAAAGGCCAGCAATTTGGGCCTCGGGTCTGGTGCAGTATCATAGTGGATCCTTTCCCCTCCGAAGAGAGCCCTGATAACACTGAAAAGAACATGATCAGCTCAAGCAAAGCTGATGATCTCACCTGCCAGCAAGAGGTGAGCATTGATTGGTAGGCTTTGGCCCAGTATCCCAATCATAGAAAGAAGGTGGCTAAAACTAAAACAACCCACTCATAGCTGGTAGTTCTTCTAGAAACCATGAAAGGTTAGCTTCTCCCCTCCCCCCAACACATATCTATGCTGATATTTGGCCTCTTCTTTAGGGTGTTTTAGTGTCTTTAGGGTCTTGCTGCAGGCAGTCCCTGAATACTTTTGTACCTCTTTGTAATGCTGCATGGTCACCCTGTTGGCTGCACAAGAGAAAGAGGGGTGGCTGGCCTGGCCTGGCCTGTGGAGCTGCTGAACTGATAGCTTTACTCCTTAACATCCATGACTCCTGAAATACCCTGTGTATGTTCCCTAAATACTAATGAAGTCTTGTTCTGGTTGCTACTTAGTGCACAGGTTTTTAATACAAATCTCTGTATTAGTGGGGCAGAGTGTTTACTGCTTAAAGTTACCCAATTTTAATGTTCTGGTTTTCACTAATATAGTTAATGTAAGTTGTCATTAGGGGAGGCTGGGTGAATGTGAATTCTCTCTGCTGTTTTTGCAACTTTTCTATAACTGTAAAATTGTATCAAAAACATTTCTAAAGTTTTTTTTAAATATAGAGGTACAGCAGCATTTTTATATTTGGGGACATTGTCAGCCTGCCTCTTCAGTTTTGTTGAAGGCATAAAATTTGTCTCAATGGTTTGTCTCTATAGGAAGCTTTTCTTCTGGCTAAAGAAGAAATACAGCTTGGTGAAGTGACTGAGCAGACAGAAGGGACAGCAGCCTGCATCCCACAGAAGGCAAAAAATGTTGCCAGTGAGAGGGAGCTCTACATCCCATCTGTGGATCTTCTGACTGCCCAGGTGGAAGATTCAGCACTTTGAAGGGCAAGGGACAGAGGGAGAGAGCACAGGAGAGGAGAAGGTGGTAGAGTCATAGGTGGTAATGAGAAAATCAGAGATATGCCCACTTTGATCGAGTCAGATGCATTTAATGGGAAGGAGATCACCCATGGAACCGAGTTTGTAAACTAGATGTTTCCTCTTTGAATTGGGAACTCAATCCTGTACTTCCCCAAAAACTCCCTTTAGTTTCCTCTTCACTTCGGCCTGATTCTCCTTCACACCTGCTGCATATTCTCTTTCCTGCCATTTGGTTATTTCAATGTCTAATTCCCATTTAACTCTTCTTGTTTTCACTTGACTGAAGAGAGGCATGAATTTGAACAAAGTTGAATCCCAGACGATGTGGAAATGGTCTACAGGTCCCATCTAGACATGGCTCCAGCTGCACTGCAAACAGTCTAACACTGCCTGTCTTTTTTTATAGGACCTGCTATCCTTTGAGCTGTTGGATATAAACATTGTTCAAGAGTTGGAGAGAGTGCCCCACAACACCCCTGTGGGTAAGAATGTTACTCATTTCATCTTGTTCATCTTACTGATAGGCACAAAAGTACCATAGCCTAGACACTGGTAGTGTTTTATTCTGAGGACATGGAAAGGATTTCTCCCACAGTAGGACAGTAAAGCAGCAATCATGGATCCGTGTTCCTTCTTTCCTGTCCTTTGTCAAAAGCAACAATATGCTAGGCACAGTGGCTCATCCCTATAATCTCAGCACTTTGGGAGGCCAAGGTGGGTGGATCACTTGAGACCAGGGTTTGAGACCAGCCTGGGCAACATGGTAAAACCCCCATCTCTACAAAAATTATTTTTAAAAATTAGCTGGGCATGGCCAGGCACGGTGACTCACGCCTGTAATCCCAGCACTTTGGGAGGCCAAAGCAGGCAGATCATCTGAGGTTGGGGGTTCGAGACCAGCCTGACCAACATGGAAAAACCCTGTCTCTACTGAAAATACAAAATTAGCCAGGCATGGTAGTGCATGCCTGTAATCCCAACTATTCGGGAGGCTGAGACAGGAAAATCACTTGAACCTGGAAGGCGGAGGTTGCCGTAAGCCAGGATTGTGCCATTGCATTCCAGCCTGAGCAACAAGAGCAAAAACCTTCATCTCAAAAAAAAAAAAAAAAATTAGCTGGGCATGGTGGCCTGCTCCTGTGGTCTCAGCTACTGGGGAGATTGAAGTGGGAGGATCACTTGAGCCCAGGAGACAGAGGTTGCAGTGAGCCAAGATTGAACCACTGCTCTCCAGCCTGGATGACAGAGTGAAACCCCATCTCAAAAAAAAAAAAAAAAAGGAATAATACAAGTCTGTGCAAGGCTTTTCCACCATAAAGGGATCCTCTTTTTTTTCTGTAGATATTTGTATCCTTTTGTTCCTTTGTATTCATGGTTTTGTGTCTTGGCCACAGCTTTCCAGGCCAAATAACTGTCCTGCATTGATTGATCTGAGATACTTGGATACCTATTGGTCTGGAAATTTTTTTGACAGACCTCAGAGCATATCTGGGTTTATTTTATCCCTGCAGGAGGCAAGAAGCCTACAAACTGCGAATTCTGGACACTGACTATTGATGATATGATGCTTTCTCTTGTTTGATGGCTCTCCTGTCTTCATTCTCCAGATATGACTCCCTGCATGTCTCCTCTGCCACATGACGGTCCTTTAATTGAGAAGCCAGGCTTGGGGCAGATACAGGAAGAGAGTGAAGGGGCAGGATTTAAAGCACTTCCTGGTAAGGGATTAAATATTTGTAAAGTATTTGCATCCTCCCTTTCCCTGCCATACTCTATTTTACAGCCATTCCCTACTAACCTTACCTTAGCATGTAAATGGGCTTTCTTTCTGTAGCATCTCATGTTTTGAAGTCTCCTCACCTTCACATGATACAGATAGCAGCTATTCCTTGATTTAGTTTTAGCATGGGTAATGACTGGTGAATGTTCCTCAGCACCTTAAACATCAAGTGCAGACAAAGTTTATGTGTCTTTCAGATTCTGTGGTGTCAGTAAAGAGGAAGCCTGAGAACATTGCTTCTGTGGAGGAAGCAGAAGAAGACCTGAGTGGGACCCAGTTTGTGTGTGAGACAGTAATCCGATCCCTTACCTTGGATGCTGCCCCAGATCACAATCCTCCTTACAGACAGAAGTCCTTGCAGAGTGAGTGTCCTTGCATTTCCCCCACCTAGCTGGTTGCCACCTGAGTTCTGACTGCCAGACTTGACTAGTTAGATGTGCTCTTCTTCACTGAGAGTGAAGGGAGAGTGATCTTTGTCAGAAATTCTGATCTTGTTTGTATCTTTAAACTCTACATATGCTACCTGACTGTTCTAATTAGAACATCAGGAGCAAAGAAGCCACCATACTCATTTCTCCATTTTCTCAGGGGCAGAATTACAACTAGATTCCACAGTGGAACAGCAGCCAGTTGTGCTGCCTGGATTCTGCAGTAAGGAATCTTCCTGTAATTTGAGAGAGCTCTTTGGAGGCCCGGGTAGCTGAGTTGTCTGCTTTCTCCAAGGGCAGCGGTCGAAGAAACAGTGGGTAGAAAGAAGCAGGAGTACCAAACAAAGTTTCTCAAGGTTTAATTCCGCTGTAAATACCTTTATAACAGAAACTTCTAGAATAACAGATAGATAAACCAAAGTATATATTTTAGGCAGTATCAAAAAATTCAAATGTAGTACATCTGACTAATAATGGAGAATCTCTTTGTTATTATTATTATTTTTTTTTTTTTTTTTGAGACGGAGTTTCGCTCTTGTTACCCAGGCTGGAGTGCAATGGCGCGATCTCGGCTCACCGCAACCTCCGCCTCCTGGGTTCAGGCAATTCTCCTGCCTCAGCCTCCTGAGTAGCTGGGATTACAGGCACGCACCACCATGCCCAGCTAATTTTTTGTAGTTTTAGTAGAGACGGGGTTTCACCGTGTTGACCAGGATGGTCTTGATCTCTTGACCTTGTGATCCACCCGCCTTGGCCTCCCAAAGTGCTGGGATTACAGGCGTGAGCCACCGCGCCCGGCGAGAATCTCTTTATTATAATGAAATTTGACCTATATCTTTAAATATTATTTATCTCACTTTTGCTTAAAGTATACATGTATATCTTTATATTTTTTTTCCACGTGTGTACAAGTACATAACAAAAAGGTCTGGAAAGACAATACCAATATGTTCTCAGCTGTTATTCTGATAGGATTCATAGGGGTTTTTTTTTTTTTTTTTTAATATAAGGTCTCATTCTCATGCCCAGGCTGAAGTGCAAGTGGCAAGATCACGGCTCATTGCAGCCACAACCTCCTGGGCTCAAGTGATTCTCCCCACCTCGGTCTCCCAAGGAGCTGGGACCACAGGCACATGCCATCACACTGAGCTAACTTTTTTTTATTGTTGGTAGAGATGGGATTTTGCCATGTTGCCCAAGCTGGTCCTAAACTCCTGAGCTTAAGCAGTCTGCCTGCCTTGGCCTCCCAGAGTGCTGGGATTATAGCCATAAGGCACCACACCTGGCCTGGGTAGCTTTTTTATATCCTTTTTTACCCTCTCAACCATGATTTGCCAGTTTTCTCCCATGACTGCATCATCTTTGTAAAGAAGAGGAGGAAAATAAGAATATAATCCTATAATACTCATCTCCTAACTTTTTCTCTTTTTATAGCACTGTTAGCTAGTATATCAGTTTTGGTTTAAACTACCTCAGTATATTAACCATCACATGAAAAGGAAAAAGGGAGGGATGGAGCCACCTCCTTTTAAGATTCACAGAGCTTCTTGGAAGCCTGGGTGTTTCTGCCTACCTTCTTTCTGTGAGCTTTGATTCTAATTCATTTCACATAGCCTTCAAACTTAGAATATGGTCATGGTTCCAGCACCAGGCCTTCCCTCTAGTTCTTCCCTTTCCTCTGGCTTTCATGATTCTAGCTCATGCTCCACAGGGCTTTACCAAGTAAGGATAGTACTTAGGGCTGCTTTTAGCTTCTAACTGAAAATTGGTTGCTTTCATCCTTTAGTGAAATTTGCCTTGCCTGAAGAAGGACCCCTTGGAAATGAGAGGGAGGAGATTGTCCATATTGCCGAGGAAGAAGTCGTGGTGGAGGAGGAGGAGGAGGAAGAGGAGGAGGATGAGCTCAAAGATGAAGTTCAGAGTCAATCCTCTGCTTCTTCAGAGGATTACATCATCATCCTGCCTGAGTGCTTTGATACTAGCCGCCCCCTGGGGGATTCCATGTACAGCTCTGCACTCTCACAGCCAGGCCTGGAGCGAGGTGCTGAAGGCGAACCTGGGGTTGAGGCTGGGCAGGAACCAGCTGAGGCTGGGGAGAGACTCCCTGGAGGGGAGAACCAGCCACAGGAGCACAGCATAAATGACATCCTCATGACCTCACAGACTCTGGAAACAGTGCCCCTAATCCCAGAGGTAGTGGAGCTTCCACCACCACTGCCCAGGTACCACTCACATCCCCCTCAGCTGGGGTGTTCTTCAGAGGTGAAATAAAGAGTGAGAGGAACCAACCTGATCTCAAAACCTGTTTTTTCTTCAGTATGGGAAGAGACTATTTTCCATAGTAAAGTCTGAATTTAGATGAATAAAAGCCATATTTCCCAGTATTTATGGATTCTGGATTTAAAGAAATATTCGTTTTAGTTGGCCTTAAATTATCTGAGTATAGTCTGTCTACTTACATTTTGATTACTGAGAGGTGGCTGTATTTTTTTTTTTTTTGAGACAGGCTGTTGCCCAGGTTGGAGTGCACTCTGTTTCCCAGGCTGGAGTGCAGTGGCACAATCTTGGTTTACTGTAATCTCTGCCTCTGAGGCTCAAGCAATCCTCCAACCCCAGCCTCCTGAGTAGCTGGGACTAAAGGCACGGGCCACCACACCCAGCTAATTTTTTTATTTATCATAGAAGTGGGGTTTTGCCGTATTGTCCAGGCTGGTCTTGAACTCCTGGCCTCAAGCAGTCCACCCGACTGAGTCTCCCAAAATGCTGGGATTATAGGTGTGAGCCACCATGCCTGGCTGAGAGCCAGTGTCTTTTTCTGGTTTTGTGTTTTTTTTTTTTGGTCTCACATGGTCACCCAGGCTGGAGTGCGATGACACAGTCTCAGCTCACTGCAACCTCTGCCTCCCGGGTTCAAGTGATTCTCCTGCCTCAGCCTCCTGACCACCACACCTAGATAATTTTTTGTATTTTAATAGAGACGAGGTTTCACCATGTTGGCCAGGTTGGTCTCGAACTCCTGATCTCAGGTGATCCACCTGCCCCGGCCTTCCAAAGTGCTAGGATTACAGGTGTGAGCCACCACACCCGGCCCCAAGAGCCAGTTTTTAAACACAAACATCCCTGTACCTTCCCTCCTTGTTTTATTGACTCTTCAGTAAAGGCAGCAAAAACTCAACCGAGTTTTTGAGATGGATCAAAACTCCATCTCAAAAAACAGCCATAATTAGGAAGTTAAATCCATTATGGGAAAAAAACACTAAAAAACCAAACAATACTCTGGTTTCTCTTCAAATTGTATAAATCTTTTGCCTTTTACTAAAGATTTCTGTAGAGAGGAACAATTCTGAGTCTTAATCCAATTTTTTGAGGCCCTGTTTCTATGGGGCTGATTTTAAAAAAAATTATTTTTAATTCTCTGGTGAATCTCTCTGAATCATTCTTGTCTCCTAATAGTAGGGAAAATGCTGAAGCCTTGACTATAACATAAACTATTCTCCCCAAAAGCTAGACATTTCCATTTATTAACACCAATTGATGTAGGTTGAGACATGACCAGACTGAAGCCAACATTTCCAGCTTGGCTGTGGCTGCATAGGAAAACAGGGTAGAATGTAGCTCTTAACGATTAGAATGTAGCTCTTAACGATGGAACCCTAAATCCAGACATATGATCTGGATCAGAAATATGAAGCCTCTAGAGAATTTGGCACTGCTGTGCTGTGTTTACTATTTCTCCACTGTTGCCTTAAGTGCCTTTTCAATTTACTTTCCATATTGTGTCTTTCTGAAAGGAGTCCTCCTTGTGTACATCATCATGGTTCCCCAGGAATGGATTTACCAGTTAACATACCAGAAGCTTCTTCAGTCCCTGATCAGATCAGAGGAGGTAATGATCAGCCTGAGCTTTTTCTTTTTCTCTGCTCTTGTCTAATGGAAACCAGGTATAAATAGGCTCTCTCTTGGTGATTCGTGGCGGTTTTTATAAACTTGCCCTTCATTCTCTCCATGCTCCTCCTGCATACCTTTACTTCTATTCTCTGGCTAACTATATTGTTAGACCTCTTAGAGGTAGTGGAAAGAACACAGGCTTTGGAGCCATACTAATCTAGGTTCCAGCTCCGTCTCCACTTTTCCTGACTAGCAGTTCAGCAGGTTTATAATGGCTGTGAGTCTGTTTCCTTACTACAAAATATATGAGTTTGTTAGGATTATAGAGTTATTTTTTCTGGTTGAATTAACAGTCATCTTGCATTACAATTCTGGACAGTTTCTCCTTATCACTTAAGCTACCCTTAAAACTTCCTAAATACTTAAAAAACAAAAAAGACTTCAAACACTGTGATCAGATTGCCACCTGCCTCAGTCATAGCCTTGCTGTGAGTTAGGGAACACTAGGTGCTTATGGATGCTGCATCTAACCAACAGCTCTTTTGCTTTTAGAGCCCAGAGGCTCATCAGGACTTATAAACAGCAGACAGAAGAGCTATGACCACTCAAGGTAACAACCTTGTGCAGTCTCTTTTTCAGAAGCAGGTGGATATCCTAGTATTGCTTCTGTTTAAAAGAGCCTCTCACAGCATGTACCCATCTTCAGAGAGCAGAGAAGGGGAGCCCTCATTCCTTCTTGTCCTTATTTCTTCTAAACCCTTTGAGCAACACTGAACAAAGGGCAAAAGCTGATGTTTAAGAGTGTTCTAGGCCGGGCGCGGTGGCTCAAGCCTGTAATCCCAGCACTTTGGGAGGCCGAGGCGGGTGGATCACGAGGTCAAGAGATCGAGACCATCCTGGTCAACATGGTAAAACCCC